CCCCAAAACCCCAAAACCCCAAAACCCCGTTCAATCAAATATGGTATAAACAATAGAATAATTTAAAATCAAATTCATTTATACTTTAAATAGTGTTGATTATATTACTATTATAATGCTATCATTATTGTGTTTCATAATCAAAGTTAGTAGCTAAAATTGCGATTAAATATCTTTGAAGTCTATTTCCTCAAATCATTTAGTGATGCATTTAAGTTGCAGCTTTATGCCTCGAAACTCTTACTCCTTAATTATTTTTCACTTTCCAACTTGTCACTTTCTAAATTATTCTCATTTGCCTCATTATTAGAGTGCATGTCGAAAAAATCGTTGTCAATGTATTCTAGAAGATGAGTCTCTAAAATTTTCTCGTCCTTGCATATTGGGCAAACTTACTTCACCTTGAACCATTCCAACAGGCAAACTTTGTGATAATAATTTTTCCCTCTGTGCTGACAACTCAGCAACTTGATTTATAAACATTCACTAGAGCCATTTCTGGTCCAGAGCACTTCCAGGCAAATTACACACTCTGTTTATTCCAAAGTTTCTCTAACATTCTCATCGTTGATGTCTGCATCAGGAATCTTATCCACAATCTCTATCTAATTATCAGAAACAATAAAATAGTAAAGTACTGCGATTTTCTCAGAGGCTTAGGATCTAAGATTATGTCTTTAAAGTTCTCTATGAGTGTATACTTCAGAGAGCTGCTCATAAACCATTCGATTTTTTGTGATATAACAAAGAGATCCTGCAAATAATATGCCCTAGATTAGTCTGATACCTTCATTTATCATTAAGTATATAAGTCCCTGAGTCATATCTCGCCTATATTCATGAGTTAAAACTTCTTTAGTCTAGATTTAAAATTTAGCCTATTGTACTTACGTTGATACAACTGCTCTAAGCATTGGTAAGATTATTGCAAATATTGAGACCAGAGTTTAGATAAAAAGTATGAGTAATGTAACTCTAAATACTTAGTGAAAGTATTCGCAGAGATTCCTTGCTTATTTCGATTATAGCAAAAGTAAAGGCATATTTGTTAAATTTGTCAATATGGTCAATAGTATAAGGGTGAAATAGGGATGAGAGAAAGTGCCAATGTCTTTAATTATTAGTATCCCATAAATTAACTATAGTATAAGATAAAAACCAATAAAATAATAGCTTAATCAAGAGCAGGACAAAGATTTTGATATGAGCTAAGGCTTACCATTATGAGATTTATAATGAAGGTGAAAGCCATGTTAAGAGCAAGAAGCTATCCCAAATAAGCCTTTACCCTTCTGAATTGATATTGTCTTTCCTCGAAGCTTAGTCTTCTTGGTAGTCTATTTTGCATTTTGATTGTAATTCTTGATTAAGTTTTAGGGGAGAAAGTAGCTGTAGAAAATAGTAGTCACTAATAATTAGCTAAGATTAAATTAATTATAAATATTAAAGTTAGAATTAGAGATGACTTAAGAAATAAAAAAAGTTAATATTTATAGATCATATTATCGGTCATTTGATAATCTAATTCTTATTTTTAGAATCAAAAATTAAGCTAGTCTATTTTCACAGCTTTGGCTAATTCAAACTAATCTCGATTTCATTTTTTTAAGATTAATCTATTACTTCAAAAGCAGGCACTAGTTTTGTTGTTAACATTCTAAATTGCATTTGATTTAAATTAATTATTGCTTACCTCTGTAGCTCTTTTACTCTCTCCGAGTTGCAATTGAACTCAGGTAATAGTTAGTAGTCGGAATTAGCTAAATATGATTAAGAAATTCAGATAATAGACTTACTAAATTCGTTATTAACTATGATATTATAAACTTGTTCTATACTTACAGCAGCACACATTTTATCTAACTGCAATTTTACTGAGTTTTCCTATGATATATTAAGAACAGAGTTTTTAAAAATCAATCCAATTAAGTATCCATCTTTATCAAAGAGCCCTCCACCACTCTGTCCTGGATAAGTCTTAGCTGTATGCTGAATGAATAAACTTTTATTTTCATGATAAACTATTCTTGTAACATAGCCCTTATAAACTGATGGGTATTACAAATCTCTGAATACTCCAAAGCCTACCGAGTAAACAGTGTCTCCCTCCTTTAAATTCTAAACTCTCTCGAGGTCTAATTTGAGATTGTTCTTAATTTTATGAGTGCTTGTTAATTTTAGTAGAGCTATATCTATAGTCTCTTAATCTATTGATTTTGCCAAGACTCTAGCGAAATAGTTTTATTTCATCACTTTTATTGAAATACTGGTCTCTTTATTCACAATACAATGAGAGTTCGTCAAAACTAAACCTCTAGAGCCATCAACAAGAATGCCAGATGAACTATAAATTTATGATTGAAATCATTTGAATATATTACTTTAAATTTGAGTCACTAACTTTTACTATGATGTTCTTATAGTAATCTATGAAGCTATCATTTTTATCTTTAACTTATTTACTCCATGTGCTCTATCCTTATACTTTGAATAGAGAGTCAAGCAGTTAGTTTATTGGGATGAATGTTGCAAATTTAATTAGCAAGTTGTTTGAATGCACATTAGGAAGTCTTACGCCTATGATACATCCAGTTTTAGAATCGAAAATTGGTGATCCCTCTACATTGTTTAAATGCCCATCCAGATCTGCCAAATATAGGCAAGGTGAAAATTTATTTGAGATAATGCCCTTAAACATTATATTGAGAAATAATTCGCGAGAATTGAGACCAAAGGGTGAGCATATGTTTATTATCTTCTGTTGCTACTTTAGGACACATTGACTTGATGCCACAGATCTTTGTTACTGCAAATATTTTACAATATCTTTACTGTTGATATCGATTTGTTCTTTGGATTTAGTGAATATTAAGAAGGTGCTCATTCTCAGCAAGTCAATAGGATAGCTAAGGCCAAAAGTATTTCCTGCCAAGTCTCTATAATCTAATTCTAGATTATTCCTATAGATCAACTGAGATACATCTCTTTCCAGCTCAGGTATTTTTACCATCCTGATCAGTTTCAGACTCTCGAAATCATCCTAGGTGTATTCTCTGTTATTCAAGCCATCTTTATCGCTGTTTGACCTCCTGATCAGAGCGAATCTACAGTTATTGCTAATGTCTGCACTCTTAATCATCTTAGACTTTAGAATTTGGTCAGAGTAGTCTAATTAATCATTCAGATACTTTATCAAATAATTGGCACTTGAAATTATGACTTAGCTCTGCTCAGATATATTAATTATAGTTGCTGACTAGGATAGAACTACAATCTTTTCTTTAGTATCCGAATCATACTGAAACCCATTCATAATAGACTTTTAGAACTTATCATCATTCTTTACTTATTTTAACTAGAGCAAGAGCATTCCTGCTTGCTCATTCATCTTTTGATATTTTTAATCCATTTCTAAGTTAATATTTTATGGTTATAATTCAGCAATAATTGCTATGTGGGGTTTTGGGGTTTTGGGGTTTTGGGG